ATCACACTACATATGTCCATATCCATATCCTCATCTCCTTCCTCTCCACTGTACTTTACCTCCTACATGTACTCCCAATATACCCACTCCTACTACCCTATTCACATGGTTATGCTCATCCCTAACCTCCAACACACTCCCCTATATGTACCTCACCCAACCTCCCTGTACTCTTTAATCCTCACGACGAGTAGATTCAACCAACTTCATACTGTCTCCTGTATTCATCTAACCTCAGTACATCACTACTTTCCTCCTCACCATTGTCCCTTTTCATACTCACCACATCTACACTTACATTCAACTATATCTTCACACGGCACTCCTACATCACACCACTCAACTCGGCACTGCGACATCTTATTGTATGGAAAATGTGACAGCACAGCTCCATCACACACTCTCATAGCCAACTACCACAGCCACTTCACTTCTTTAATCCTTGCGACGCCTGGATTCAACACCGCACAAATCCACTCACCAGCCCATCTTGCGTCTCCATATCATCCAGTCTGTCCCTTATGCCCATACACTGTCTGTCACACTTCAAGTACACCTTTCCCAATTCAATTCCCACCCCACTTCACAGTCACTACTGGCACTTGGCTACTACTCTACCCTCTTCAATCCACCCAATGGTGGAAGTGAGCTTCATCTACAGGGGTCCTCCCCTCAGTCTCAGGACACTCCTCAGGAGAATGCCCAGGGTTGCTCTTCTCACACCCATAGCACACCCAAGACCAGCAATTATACCTGGTGTGGCCTCTGAAGGCACAGTGCTCACACACAGGCCCAGTGGCTGGATAGTTCTGAATTCACACAGCTATTAGCCCACCAATCATCCACACTTAACTCAAGCATCACTCACACTTTCATCCCTTGGGATGTCCTGCTCAGCTTCATCCTCCTGCTTTGTAATGTCCTCTTCAGCTGCCTGCACCCCAGTCAGTCACTGCTGTGCTGACTAAGCATGATCAGCTAAGCATACCTTCCCATCCTGGGTCATCTACATGGGTCAGGTTAGAACTATCACAGCTGTGTATCAGAGCACTCACTGTTTCTTCCTTCTGAGTGTCTTTCAAGTCTGACATGATGGTGGTCTTGAGTAAGGAGAGACACCTGAGGCTGTACCTGTATATATATCTGCTCTCTTTGTTGTTGTTTGTTTGTATTGTATTATATTTGTTGTCACTGTGGCATCCATTGAAATCAATTATTTCCTAGTGATTGTGTGGCCTTGCAGGATTTTATTCACATTTCCATGGTTCATTTGCTTTTGCAAACACAAGCGAACTCTGTGTTAGCCCTGTTGCAATTGAACAACAGTTCAAGCCAAGCGACTGAACCTGGTTGAATCCTCTCGACGAACAGATTCAAGACCATCACAACTCAAGCATGTGGCAGGCCTGTCCATAGGCTAAGACAAGTCACATATACCTTGTGCTGGTTTTTAATCCTCTCGTCGAGCAGATTAAAAGTCTGGTGCAACATGCCCATCAAGCCAACATGGCTTAACACACACATGCCTGCAGAGACACTTGCAGACATGTAGCCTTACTTGAACACAATAAATGATTTTCAAGGTTTGACATGGTCTACAAGAAATCCAGGCCTGGAATGAACTCCTCATCACTGCAGACTGTCTGTATGCTGTCACACAATGGCTTCACTCTAGTTGGCTTGGACTTTTGAGTGCTGACAGATGTCATTCAGAGCTTAGTATAAGAGACAATTGACAGACCAGGTACTCACAAGGACTGATTTGGAGGAGACTCTGATGGCAGTGCCCAGACCCCAGGCAACCTGAAGCACCTCCTCTTGTGATGAATGTGGAGAGGGACAGCTGAGAGCATGAAACCACATTCAATGGGTGGGTGCTCTTTTGATCTCTGCTCTTCTAGCTCAATGTCTGTCTTCTCCTTCCTGCTGGGAAATTTGCTCCTGGGGAGAGGCTTCTCATCACGCCAATGGTGATCCACCTTCACCTTTTTAGGGCCAAGACTGTATCAAATCAGATGATGGACAAGGTCATGCTGGAAAGAGGATCACTTACTGATGCTCCTCATCCCTGTAAGGATCGATCTCAGACTTGCGTTTTGGAGCCTTGAACTCAAAGCTATGCAAAGTCAGGCAACAATGGCAACACAAATGATAAACTCACAGCAATGGGTCATCTGTGTATGGATCAAATGCCTCGCTCTCTACAACATCATCATAGTAGCACATTGCTCCTGTGTGCTTCAGTGAGGATTAGCAATTATCTTTGTGACTGAGACTTACTTACTGGTGGTGGTGCAAAGGGGGAGAGGGGGGTGGGGGTGCTGGGCCAGCATGCCCAAAGCTATATAGTGTTCTCAGCCATGGGCACATGACTGGAAGTTGAAATCATGTGATCCAGAGCCACTGATCTTCAGCTCATCTCGAGGATGAGCCTGATTTCCTCTTGTATATGATAGATCAACAGCCCTGGGTGGGGCACACATGACTTGATCACACCAGACATTGAATCTGCTCGACGAGAGGATTAACACAAGAGCACAGGCTGTGTGTCAGTCTGTGTTTGGGATGATATGCTATGATTTTGGAGGTCAAATCTGTTTGTTGACAGGATTCACTTGGGCACTTAGATGGTGAGGTTAGGGAATTTGTTGAACTTTGGTGTATGTTAGACTCTCAAATGGTGGCAGCCTGTCGTATCAGTAGCTACAACTATTAATCCATAAGTTCATGATCATGTCCTTCACTGAGTAATAATCCATGTAGACATTGCCTGACACACAACTTGCCATAAAGCTATCTTGGACAGTTATCATGACATTTCTACACAACATTGCTTTGGAGCTACTTAGTAGCCACCTTAGAAATTACCAGCCTCATCCTCCTGGTCAACAATTCCAACATCACACCAATCAACATAGTACTCCATGTCCTCCTCCCTCCTTCCCACCCAAGGGCAGCGACCAGGCAGATGCCCAGGGGCATACCTTTGACACTCATGGCACTGGAACCTGTTGCAGTGAACTCTGATGTGCCCAACCCGGCCACACCAAAAGCACCGCTTAGGCAGTTTCTGCACACTTATGATCAGCCTTGTACCCAAGCATGGCACAACCTCTGAACTGACCTTCTGGTTTGTCTGTTTCTGTGGATAACCTCTTGTCAATGATCTGAAGCTGATAAAGGGCAGAACTCTTACCTTGTCAGGTCCTTGTCTCTTCTTATCTCCTCCATTGCCATTGCCAGAGGGCCTGGCATTGTGAACCTGATAAAGTCATGTGATCAGCTGCTGAGTCATCATTCACTGCATATATATACCTGTGGCATTCTGTGTCTTATTTGCAGGGGAGATGGTGACTGTTTGGGAGGAAGAGGGGACTGCTTGCTGCATTCCTTTATATATGAACATGGATTTGTCACTGTTTGTTTATGTTTGTTTGTCTCTGTGTGCATCAGTCATGTGATCTTTGAGCCTAGCTGGTCATTGTAAGTGATTGACCAAACCCCCATTAGAGTATGGAATGTGAATCTGTTCGTCGAGAGGATTCATTGCTCTGCATATACTGGCCACACAGACTGTGACAGCAGTACAAAAATTACATCCATTGAACACTGCAGCTAATGTTACAAATCTAATAAATACTAAACACAGTATCAATCAATCCTGCTCTTGGATGAAGTCACATAGCCACAAAAATATGGCACAGAGATTGCTGGAATGTCCTTCAACTGGCCTGGCCACCAACCACTGGCTGTAGCCCTCTAGAGTATGCCAGTTCTGGTGGAAGTGAGCCTGTGCCATGGTAAGGAGATGAGGGTTATGAAATATGCCAAATATCACCATGCCCATGACATCTGGCCAACGGCATGCACTACTATCCCCAGTATTGTACCGGGCATGCAGCTCATCGGATAGCTGAGGCACATGGCACCTGAAGCAGATTTGGTGGTGGTGCCTGGTGTCATAGACTATCAGCTTCCTCCACTTGATATACTCCTGGACAGTCGAGATCTGCTTCATGGACTTGCAGGCAAACAAGCCATGCTGGGCATGCTCATGCCCTAAGAGCTTGCAGAGAGCACAGCTGTCTGAGAACTGGTTGAGTGCCTGGATGAACCTCTCCACATATCCAGCCTTCCCAGCATCGGCATCCAATCTCCTCTTCTTTGCTGCTTCAGAGGCTCTGGCAAAGCCATCATCAGCTGGCTGGGATGCTACCCTCTTCCTCTGGCGGGGCTTGCTGATGCCAAGGGACTGGACTTCAGAGTGTTTGGAGGTGGTAGATGGAGGTGGGAGGTGGATTCTGCGGGACACAGCTTCTTGTGTGGCAGCAGGCACCCCAGCAAAGAGCATTGTGAGGCTGGCTGGCACCTGGAGCTTGAGTGGCATGGGAGGGAGCGGCCGGCAGATGTTACAGGGGGGTGATCTGAAACCTCGGCAAGACCAAAGCTTCTTGTCCAGAAACTCGGAAAAGATGGCTCTGTGGCAAAGAGCACCTTTGAAAGGGCTGGGACCAAGCCACTTGTAGACCTGGGCAACACCTTTGTGGTCAACATCTCCAGGTTGCAGTGGCAGTGGCCTCCTCGGTGGATTGGGGCCTGGCAGCACATGAGCCCTAGCCCACTTCTTGTCTCGCCCTGCTCTACCACTCTCCTGCATATAGCCCACCAGCTCCTGAGGATTGCCAGCGTGGACAACAACCCGCACATGAGGGTAGTCATTCCCTGCACCAAATGCAGAGGTGGCAATCATGATCTTGTCCTTCCCAGAGACCCAGTTCTTGTATATCTCGGCCCGGAACTCATCGGTCAGGTCCCCTCCTCCACAGTAGAAGTTGCATTTCAGGTACTTGGCCAGCAAAAACCCCTTGTCCTTGTAGGGAACAAAGACCAGTCCCCTGTCCTGTGGCTGGAATTGGGCTATCTCCAGCACCAGGATTTGTTCTGTCCTGAGGATGATCTGCTCCCAACTGTCCCTGAGAGGCTCCACGATGTATTGGATCTCTGACCTGGATGTGACAATTTCCCTGATGACCTCGGTGTCTGGGAGGAGCCCAAAGCTATCCCTGAGGGCTGGCTCAGAGAGTGGGGAGATGGTGCCAGACATGAGGACAAGCTGGGCAGAGAATGTGCGGATGGCGTAGACTTCCCTCAGGCAGTCCCGGAAGTCTCTGGAGGTCAGAGCAAAGTGGGCTTCATCAAAGACAAATCTCCAGATGGGCTTTTGCTCATTGAGCTCAGCAGCGGCCTGTCTCCAGGAAGGCTTGACAACCTGGTCTATGAGGACAAGGACCAAGTTGTGTTGCCCTGTGAGCCTCTTCTGTCCATCTCCGGTCCACACCTCATACCCAACCTGCATCTTGTCCAGTCTCCTTCTAAAGTCCACAAGGAGGGACTTCAGAGGGAGGATGCCAACTGTGACCTTGTTCTGTTCCATGAGGGGAGGGACAACCATGAGCATAGACTTGCCAGCATTGGTAGGAAGGACAGCAACAACATCTGTCTTGTGGTCCAGGATGGCCATCATGGCAACCTTTTGGGAGCGGCTGGTCCATGACACGCCAGGGCGCCTGATGAGGTTGGATATTGTCTCCAGAGCTAGGTCCTCTGAAGGCTCTTGGCTTGTCCTGAACACAGAAGTGGGTGCTGGGATAGATGGTTGTTCTGGCTGCAGATGGTCTGGGATAGGAAAGGAAGGGGGAGGAGCCTCCATGATGTCAAGCTCACTGGGAGGTTTGCCAGAGCTCATGGTTCCTTTACGTTGACGTCGTTGAGCAGCCCTGGACAGAACATGATGGTCGGGGAGGATGGATGGATTGAGCGCAGGATGGCCTCCAGATGGACCAGACTGAGGATGGCTACCAGGTTGAATCCTTGCGTCGAGAGGATTAAAAGCAACACTGGCAGCACTGCCAGAGATGTCGAGGCTTCCTAGGACTTGGGCAAGCGCATGCTGGACAATGCCTGGGAGGTCTGCTTTTAGGCTCTCAGAGACCTTCTGAGACACATCCTGGGAGATCTTGTCCTCATCCACAGATTGGGGTTTGGTCCCAGATGGTCCATCTGCAGGGATGACCCTGACACGGGCAAGCTCACCAAAGAACTTGCCCATGGCTTGGTCATAGGGCAGCATTACACCTCCTGTTGACATTAGGTCTTAGCAATATTGTAACAACATGATATATGCGTGCATACCTGGCACCGTGTGAGTGACCTTGTGCCAGTCAGTGCTGGCATCCAAATACAGAGGCAAGACATCCTCGCCAGGACCAGCCAAGGTGTCCACACTGATCCCATAGGTTCTGTTCTCCTGAGCTCTGGAGTGCCCACTTGCCAGAGCATTCACGGACTCGATCTCCTCCTCGTCCTCAAACAGGTTGCTGGCCCCCCTACAGAGCCTTCTCCTGAAGGCTATGGCAATATGCCTCCAGGGATTGACTGTCAGACCCACACCCAAGATAGGCTGTGTCTGTCTCTTCATGAGCTCACTGAGATTGTCAGTGTCAAAGGGCTTGTTGAAATTGACAAACAGGTGGTCTTGATAGAGGGCATGCACAGTGAGGTTGGTGGGGAAACAGACTCTGGCAGCCATCTCCGCAAAAGGTCGAGCAATGGCCAGACTCTGGATTAAGAGATCTGCAGTGAAGGCATCCACAGAGTGGGGTATGAGGCGGTCGGTTCCTGTGAGGGCCCCTGACTTGTGATAGGTGGTGAGCATGGTGAGATGGGTGCCAAGAAATGAGAGGTTGCGGACACGGCGGGTGGCAGTACTCCGGAACTTCATTGATGTGATCTCTGTTCCTCTGGCGGGTCCTCCAGCCAGCATCTCACACCTAAGCATGAGGAGGCCTTGCAGACTGGCATAGTATCCAAGCCATTCACGGAGGGCATCCACCCTCCAGGCATAGGAGCTACCCTGTCTGATGAGCAGCTTTGTGACCAGGATGTCGTCCCTAGTCACAGCTTCTAGGAGGAGAGTTCTGGAGTGGAGATTCCTGTTTCTGGGATCATTGAGGAAGCAATACCCAACATCGTCCCTGGACAAGTCCTCCTTGATGGTGTCATAGTCCACCCTGAGGTCCAGGCCAAGCAGCACCTTGTCCTTCCAAAGTGCAACCAGGTCCTCCTCCTGCTTCCTGAACAGCTCCTCCACTTGGTCTAGACAGACCAGGTCTCCCTTGTAAAGCAGACTCCTCCACTTGGCTTGGTCTTTCCACCAGATCCTGGGTAGGCCCATGGTAGACTTGACAATTCCAGACGCAAGATGCTGAAGACTGCAGATGGTGTTAAAGGAGGAGTAGTGCTTCTCAGAGAACCATCTCTCCAGCTGGGAGCAGCCCCAGTCATCCTGGTAGGGCTCCTGGGTTCTGGTCCAGTACTTGATCTGGTGTAGGAATACCAGCCGCATGCTGTACTTGAACCTAGCAATGGGCCCGGTGATGTCCTTGGGGTCACAATGACCACCATCTGGACGGAGGCTGTAGATGGCCAAGAACCTCTCTGTGGGATCTGGGATGTGGTTGCCATCAGATCTCCTCCAGTGAGTGGTCCAGAGCTGCAGCAATAAGGAGTGCAAGTGGTCCTTTGCATCCGCGGCATCCACTCGAATGGCATGGGCAAGGTCGCTGATAGAGGATACAATGTTGGGAGGAAGTGGAAGGGAATATATGCCCTTCTCCCTGAGAAGGAAGGCCACCAAGCATGCCAATATGGTCATGTAAGATCTGTTGGATGCCTGCTGCTGGTGAGGATGAAAGGGGCTATTGCTGATGCCACTGGTGAGATGAATCCTCTCAGCGAGTAGATTAAAAAGCACTAACATATATGCTCACCTCTTTAAAGGGTCATCAGTGTTGAGTTTCTGGAGCACAAGTAGGTCGGTCCCTTCAATAAGGCCCACACAGTCCATGAAGTAGGACTCCACAGTCTTGAAAAGGGATGGGAATTCATTGGCTGAGGGTGCAAGAACCAGATGACGGAGTTGGGAAGGTGAGAATGGGGCAGTGTGTTCATGCCAGTGGGTGGACAATAGCCATGGGCTGATCTCCCTAGAGTCCTGAGGCTGGACAAGGATGTTGGTGCTCTCTGTCATTTTCTGGATAAATTGCAACAGAGGACTGGTAGAGTTGGAGGCTGGCTGAGGTGAAGCAACTTCAAACCATGCATGGAAAGGGGGGACGTCCGAGAGGTGCTGCATGGTGCATGTTCTCCACTCCTTGGGCTTTGTTTGACCAGTGTGGACCTGTGAGAAGTGAACCCGGAGCCATTCCGAGGACTGGGCCACCTTGGGGCAGGCTGAACAAGCCATCCCCTGGTGGATTCGCAGCCCTGCAATAGCTTCAATTGGGTCCTTGCCTCCAAGGGAAGGAAGCACTGCAAGGTCCAATGTGGTGCATTCTTCATCCAACAGAGTGGCATCATAGGGAATGAGCTTGTGGTGCTGAGACAGATGGCCTGCTACTTGCTCTCTAGGGAGGGCTACTTGACAAGACATGCAACACAGGAATTTGTATGCCTTCTGATAGCAGAGCCCCATGCTGTCTAAGCCAGGGCTGTGCATCAAATCCATGTCTTCTACAGCAGACTGGAATGTCATTGTCAGTTACTGGACCACAGTATGCAGACCAGACATGGACAATATTCACTGGTGTGGTAAGATCCTGGACCATCTGAGACAAGCTGTCAGGACAGATAGCTCAGGAGTCATTATGAGAACTGACCTGTTCCCCAGATCCCCCTGCAATACCACCTTGATCATGTTCAACTGTGGCAGTCTGTGTGTGGTGAGTTAATCCTCTCGTCGCATAGATTAACATCCTTACTGTGCCAGTATCCAACATTCCCTGGGCATCTTCAGATTCCAAGAGGCCTTGCTATTTCACATGGAGTCAGCCTCAGCATATGAAGTCACATGACAAAGCTGGTGCTTACCAGTTGTCCTCTCCAGACAGAGTTCTTTGACAAATGCTCAATGAGCACTGCACGCCTAGTGAAGTCCTTGGGACAGTCTTCTGCTGTACAGAAGCATTTGAAGGCTCCTTTGCCCGCAGCTTGGATACATGCAACACCATTTTGAACAGAGACATACGCAATGTTCAGACACTGTCTAGTGTGCCCATCACGGGTACCACGAGTTGGGAAGATATCCCCACAATGGGTGCAGGAGAAAGAAGTAGTAGACTTGGACATTGAGGAAGAGGTGAAGTTCCAAATTAGGAAGGTTGTGGTTGCAATCAAAGAGGTGATCAGCCACATCTGAGCCTAACAAGTCTATATAAGCTAGAGAGCTGAGTTTGAACCTTATTTAGGGTCACATGCACACAATGTGTTGCCTGCAGCATTGCATCCACATGTCCATGGATCCTTCAGTTGATACAAACACTTGTGATGTCTGTATGCTTCATTTTGCCACTATATTGCAGATCAGTTGGGCATCTCATATGGCCATTGTCTTGTCTGAACCCCAAGCCATTCAGCAAATTGGCTCATGGGATCTGTTCACTGATCCCACTGGTACAAGTGGATCATGTTCAAGTCCAGTCTTACTGAGATTGGCCTGTTGCAGCAGACTTTGAATCCTTGCGACGAGAGGATTAAAACTGCTATGCAAACAATGTCTCAGTACCCTCAGCCTATGAGACATGTCTGCAAATGCATTTGGTGGGCATGGTGTTTAATCTGCTCGTCGAGAGGATTCAAAGGTGTGCATGCTTTGAGATGTCACTCAGGCTGTCATACCCTTAGAATGTGCACAGCTGCAGCTGTTCCTCTCACAGCTCCTGCTCTGGCACTTGGTGTGTGGTCCTTATATATGATACACTGAGGGCCAATCCATGTGCTATCACACTTGACATTGAATCTATGCGACGAGAGGATTCAAACTGGGATGCAAATAATGTGGCAGCAACCTCAGCCTGTTGGACATGTGTGTGGAGCATTGTCATTGAGATTGTTTGCCAGATCATGAATCCTTGCGACGAGAGGATTAACACTGCAGTGGGAACAATGGCTCAGCTGACTGAGTGGGACATGTGTGCAATCATTGCATTGGGTGCTCATGGCAGTGAATCTGTGCGTCGAGAGGATTCACTTGTGCAGATTCTGTGACTTTGCTTCATGTTAGCAGAACTGCTGACTGAAGAGGTTGTGCAATGTCACTCAGGCTGCAAAGTGTGCACAGCTGCATGGCCTCAGATGCCTTTTGGGGACTGCAGCTGCTGCAGTGTCTCTGCGCTTACCCTTTTGGGAGTTGCAGGTCTCCGCAGCTGTCTGCGCTTACCCTTTTGGGAGCTGCAGGTCTCCGCAGGTGTCTGCGCCTACCCTTTTGGGGTCTGCAGGTGCCTGCGCTTACCCTTTTGGGTGCTGCAGGTCTCCGCAGCTGCTGCTGCTGCTGTAGTCTGCCCCCTTTCTACGGGGAGTATATAACTAGTCTGTCCACCTCACCACAGCCCACCCCAAGCTCCACGTTACCTGCAGCCTCCACCTCAGCCTACACTCCAGCTTACCCCCCCAACTCACACTCTCCCCACCTACCCTTCTTCACAACAAGCCCACCTCAAGTCCTCCCTGTCACTTTTCCTACACCCACACTCCACCTCGTTACCTCCCAGCTCACCACCTCCCTGCACACTCTTCAACAACAGCTCCTGACCTGTTACCACTGTTGTCCACCTCACAGAGCTGCCTCTCACACCCAACCTCGTCTTCTCAACACACCAGCACAAGCACACACTTCAGGCCTAAGCTCTCACTTTGTGCCAGCAAGCAACCCTTGAGCTCTGTCCGTGTGGCTGAAAAGTAAAACATCACATGTCTAAGACTCAGACAAGCTCAACAAATTTTTTATTTTGGAGCTGTTAGCATTACAGCCTTACAAGCCTCAGATCACCCAGAATTTCATTTTAGAAGTGTTTCATTACCCAGCGGCTGCATCAGCCAACATTGGTTATTATTACCAAGGCTGGTCCAACAGCTATTGTATGCTGGGTAAATGATGGTTTTATTTGGGCTTACAAAGGAATCACTGTGCTATCCTCAGGCTGTACACCAAAAATGCAGACTCTCACATACCTCAGTAATCACATTCTTCAAACAGCACCTGTACAAGGATAACTCAATAACATAGCTTGCCTTGTTGGAAACAATGATGTGTAAGGCTATCATCCAATTGTTCTCCTGGAATGGACTCTCAAGGAGCCTAAATGAGTCAAGGACATACATGTTTACAACACTCCTTCATTCTCTATATTCTTCCATGTAGCTTCATTTACCAACATCAATACTCGCTCCTCTCAGTGCCATTACTATAATCAAGGTCGGGCCATGGAAGAGCAGCAATGGCCTCTCACACTCCTCCAGGCGGTGAAGCAAGTGGAGCTAACAGATGAGGAAGGTTGCCAGTGCAATGTTATCATTTGTTTTTTCAACTCCAAGTTGACCAGTACTGGTGCTCACTACACAGCAGAAGTAGCTCTCCACTATGGTACAAGTCTTTGAGCAACTTGCAAATCTAGTTCTTGTCATCACATGCATATCTGATATACGTGGCTAAGGTGACATGGCTTAGTTGCTGCATATATTCAATTTGAACGCTAGTGACTATCCAAACATGCCTGCATTGCTTCATGGACTCAGTCCCAGTGATAGCCATCACTCAAATAAGTGTACTAGCAGTTGCTTCAACACATAGCATAGGCTCACACTGTGTGCTGCAGTAGTTACCAGCATCTATTTCATTCACAGCTCCCAGATGTCATTTGTGTAGTTCCCGCAATGAATATTGTGCATGATGGTATGCTCTCAATCACAGCAAACAGGGCCTCATTTGCTGGGCAATACACAAGTAAGTTTAGGGCATCACGGAATTGGTTAAACTGGTCCATGTGAGCCACAGTGCAGTCACAATCCAAAACATTTGGCCTCAAGGGTGTCACATGTGGTAAATACCACAGGAGTCCAGGCCTCACCTTGGAGACATTTGGCCATTGAGTACAAGTGGTCGCAGTTCTCCAGATCTGGTATCTGTATGTATCATATACACTGTAACTAGTGTGTAGTCATGAAGAACCTGTGACAATGGCTGAAGTTAGCCTATCAGTGAGTACAAGGCATCTTTACTGCTCTGAATGGATGATCTCAGGGAGAGCATGCTTGACTTTGTAGCTCCAAACTGCTCATTGTAGTATAGCTACAGAATGGGATTCCGGAGTGTGAATAGATTGAGACGTTGAAATGGACTTAGGCTCAAGTTATTGGTTTAGGCTGCTGGTCATGCTCACAACAAGCAGCTAATGTTCAATGTGATTCACATCATATTTTCCCAAAAAAAAATGGACAAAGGCCAATGTGGTTCCTGTATTGAAGAGTTATTGTCACAGTGTGTGAATACAGTAAACTTTGTATCGGGACTTTATGCAACGGGTGCCCACAATACATCATTGAGTGCATTGCCATGAAGTCATCATGTGGCAGGGAAGTCACCAACGTTTTCCTAATAAATGGCAGACTTTAGAGACAGAGTGGATCACTTTTTTTCTTTTCAGAACAGTACATGATACTGGCATGCCCTGACCTAATCATACACAAGGATCTGGCCTGAGTGTCACTGGGGTGATTGACACTAGACAGTTCCTGGAGCTTCATTGTCACATTGTTATTACCATTAACACACTTTGTAAAGCCACATTATTGCACTCACTTTCATCACTATCATGTCACTAAGTCCGAGTCGTGCCCTTCTTCTAGGGTCTCAACACAGAGGGACTCTGCCTGGTATGGTGGAAGGATGCAGACAGCCTGAGGTAGGTGAGGTAATAGGAAAATCGAGCCTGAACTGTGCACTAATGGTCTCACCTGCAGGTAAACATGTGGCATTAGCCACATTGCCTGCAGGCAGACCACATGATCAGCAGGCTGAATCCACTGGTTCTTTGACTAACAGATTTTTGACGGGTTCCATTCCGTGGCTATCTTTACATAAAATTTACAAACGGCCTACCTCCCTAGATGGTGCTATACGAGCACGACTTTACTGTAGTAAGGTAATGCAATCTCCGGTCAAGGTGCCAATAGCTGACTCCTCTTTGTCTTGATTCCTAGTAATTCATTCGCTACTTTAACATGAATGCTCACAGTATTCAGGACAACTCGGTTCATGTTGTCCACACTTTCACAAACACTAATGTGGACTGATAGGGAACAGAGATGATGTACATATTGAATGAAGGGGTGGGTACTCAAGTAGTATGCTCATGAACACAGTTGGAATATCAAACAAGTAAATATGTTTCCCATGAATATGTCCTCACTCAGGTTTTCAGCCCAACTGAAACTGAGGCACATGTGGCTATGCCTATAATGTCTGCTTAAGCGCAAGTGCATCAAAGAATTGCAGAAAGCAAACCTGAGCCCTGTGTCACAATCCTACATAGTACAAGACAATCAACACATGCTCTCTGTAGCCTCTGTGTCATGCTGCCCAATTGATGCATATGTGATGTATGGCAAATGGAGCACTCTGTAGGGATTTGCTCATTGGCTAGAGGCACGGTAACAGCACATGTTACATATGTCCACCCTTCTGTGCTGCACTTTACTGTGACCATATGTCAATGATCATTACCTATTGCGGTAGCACTGACTGTAGCTTGCCCCTCGTGTGCTTGTCACTTGCTGCCTGCACTTATCCCTCAGTTTTTACCCTCTCGTGTGTGGATAAGTGTCTTTCTCGCAAACTGTCACTGATGTACTCTTGTACTACTCATCTGTCTACTGAGGTGGTGCTATAGTTTCCATGAGCACTGCAATAGCGCCTGAAAAAGGCGAGTAGTATATGTCACACAATAAGGCGTCATGTCTCATCTGCGGCCAGCACTCTTCTGTATGAAACACCACTTGTTATCACAGTACCATGGGTGAAGGCAAAGGCAACGAAGCGCAGCACCATCACAGTCAGGTGAGCCCTGCGAGCATGGCTGGTTGGGGCTGCACTTCGTCGCCTTCGCTTTCATACATGGCACTGTGACAACAGCAGCGCAGATAAGGTGCGTAGCGACCTACATGCGCTCGACTGCGAGACCGGTAGGGGGGTCCTTTGACATGTCCTGACCCTAACCCTAGACCTGGGTTTAATGCCCGTGAGCGCGCACCATGCACGCAGCAGCAAGTCACCATTGCATCAAAGCCATCATTAATGAGGTTGGTACAGTATGACGGAACAACGAGGTGAGAATGGCATGGAGACAAGTAAGGTATTAGAGTGTACGTCCACACGGCGCCAGGTCCACAATAATGAGACGAACTAATCAGTCACCGGAGATGTCAATCACCTCACCGCTGCCAGACCCACGGCGGGAGGCTGTGCGCGCGCGTTTGGCCGCAGGCGGAGGCAACATCTCAATGCGGAACTGACCAGTACCAGGCGGACGCTCGCGACGGCGCTTGACTCCACGGCGGGCGGCGGTCGGGCTCATGTTAGATGTGAACACGTTAGTAGTTGCCACCGCCGTCGCAGATGCCACCAAGTGCGCCGGAGGTTGCTGCTTCCTTTGATGTGCGCCCGCCTCCCTCGCAAACCGTCCGGGGGAAGTGACCACCCGGCGCAAAGAAGAGGAGGCGGAGGCGTTGACCGTGACAAATGGCATCGACGTCGACCGCGCACTGGAGCTTGAAGACGCAGAAGCCCCACCACTCCTGGACGACCCTGAGGCGGAGGCGGACGACCCAGCACTTGCGTGCGCACTTGCTGTGACGTGGGCCATAGTCGTGTACTGGAGAGGCGAAGGCGGACGCGGGTCATCAGCTTGCTCAGCAAGGAACGGCGGATCTTCGTGGGCCGCGCTGTAACTGAACGAGGGTGCGCGCGACGTTGAACGTAGTGCAGGCAGCGCAGGGTTTCTGTTCGCTCGGTGTGGACGTGGAGGGGTCCCACGCAACGACGGACCCGCAGGGTGCCGATCCACAGACGCCGCCGCAGACATGAGTTGCTGGTGTGCCGCGCCGGGCCCCGCCCTGGGCCCTTTAGGAGGTGGGGCATGTCGTATGATCTCCCCCTTCCGGGCGAGCAGCTCGGCGCATTGTTCCCCAAACAGAAACTTAGCTTGACTGTACCCGCTCTGCATACCCTGCAGATCATCGAACACGTAGGACAGATCGGCGTGAACGGCAATCAGCTCGTCTTCGCTGAGCGGCCGCCAGTCAACGCCATAACTGCCGCCCTTCAGCACTGCTGTCCCAAGCCCCCTTGCCAGCCCTAGACGGATGAGATTGAAGGGGTTGATCCCTTTGACCGTATGTTTTGCCACGAAAGCACGCCCCAGGGAGCCCAAGGTATTGTTACCGCTCGCACGCAGATGCTGGCGAACCGGGCTATGTTGGTCGAAGAACGCGATGATGTAGGTGGTGACCATCGGGATATAGGGAATCCGGTTCGTGTGACCGGTGGAACGCGTTCCAATCTCCCAATCCGCATTCTGAATAGCCTTTGTGAGGCCTTGCGAAGAGGGCACACCACCGGGCGACAATCGCAAGACCTTTTCCAACGCGGCACCGTTGTACCCAAGCTCAGGAGCCAGACGACTGACCACAATCGCTATCATCAGCGCGAGTTGGTGGAGCACCTTCGACGGGTCGTAGTTGTCGAGCACCCATTTGTACACTTCGTACACCAAGCGCTTGCTGCTTACCGACGGGTCGCTCTCCGCAGGCATTGACACCGACGCATTTTCGAGCGTAAACTCGACCGGGAGGACCTTCCGGGTCGAGATGAATTTGGACAACGCGTGCAGTGGGAGCGCAGCAGCTTCCCACTCGCCCTTGGGGTCCTCCTCGACTATGCGTTTACCGACGCCGCTGATGATGTCCTTGTACTGTTGTTCCATCGTGCGCACAACCGGTGGTGCGACCAGAGCCATACTGTCCCAAACAGGGCTCGCGGTATGATCGACCTCGACCCAGGAGTCGACCGATGCTTTCGTCTTTGGGCGTCCTCGGGCCTCCGCACTTGGTGCCTGCCATGGCACAAACATGATCATGTTGACCTCGAGCGCAAGCGCAAAGATGTTGACGCTCCAATCGTAGATCTCCGTGTCGGTGATCAGACTAGTGGGTGCGTTCTTTGCGAGTTCGGCAAGTGCGAGGCGCAGCACGAAGATGCCCGAGCCATCCTTGATGAGAGGAGCGCGCAGGGGCGTTGGCTTGTTTGCACGAGCGCAGTCGCACATCACCCGGGCCACTTCTCCTTGAGTAGCCCGAGTTGTCGAGGCCATAGGGAGCCCGTCCGCGATGTCGTCTACAGACTCAGCCAAAGTAGCAACAAGAAGCGCCAAAGGGAACACCATGTTGTGCGCCTTGGACTTGCCCTTCAGGTCCTTCGTCTTCTTGCTCTTCTTTGACTCTTTCGCTCCAGACTGTGTCAAGGTAGCCGTCTCCCCTTTGTGCGAAAACGGGTGCGCACATGCCTTCCACTGCTTCAGGTTGCTCTCTCTCTGGTGGTAGTGGATGTGCTCCAGCTCGGACAGGTCCTCCATATCCTGCGTGCCCACGCGCTTCATCATCAGACGGACCTCGCGCTCCACAAAGTCCTTCCAGTCGGCAATGAGCACGCCCATGGCAATGTCCGCGATCACCAGGCCCTTTACAACGTGAGGGTTGCCTGCGTATCTCTTGAACTTTTCGTCGGAGCCTCCGAAAACGCGAGCAAGCGAGAAGGAGAACGCCGCTGTGTATCCCTAAGTGTGCAGTGTGTCAGTGTCTTATAACCCATGAAATGTGATGCCCGTGCCCTTAAAAGGGGATCTCGCGCGGGCGCGCCAGATCCCCTCGGACGCATATTCGGCGTGGCATATAGCACATATTTGCCTATGGGGGGATCTCGCGCGGGCGCGCCAGATCCCCTCGGACGCATTTTTGGCGTGGCATATAGCTCATATTTGCGTATGAGGGGATCTCGCGCGGGTGCGCAGGATCCCCTCGCAGGCCGTTTGAGAGCGGCCAATAGCGTTTAACCGCGTCTGAGGGGATCTCGCGCGGGTGCGCAAGATCCCCTGGAGCGGCGTGTCACTCAGGACGGAAAAGGAAATAGGACTTACTGCGAGGGCGCCGGCACCCCAAGTGAGCTGGAAGGCACGCGATGAAGCGAGGAGCGGCGTCATGTCAGACGGACGACACGGCCACGCGGTTACCGAGATCGACAAGGGGAAATCGTTGTCCACATCGAGACGCATGGAGGGGTGCAGACAGGGGAATCCCAACTCGAGGAGAGAGCGTTTGAGCCATAGAGGACCCATGCAGCCGGAGATGACCGCCGCGTTCCCAGTATGCGCGTATGCGAGGGTGCGCTCCATCATCGCGAGCAGTTCGATCTGAAGCGCGGGCTGTTTTCGGCCTTGCTGAAGGTCTGCAACCATCGACGTGTACATTTTCTCCAACACGACGCGAACGGGAAACGTCATCCAGTGATAGATGGCGGGGAACACCTACGGCCGTGGTCAGTGTCTGATGCACGCCAAAGTGAAGCAATGGACCTACATCGGGCTTGAACACGACGATGTGGTGCCGAAGGCGTTGGAGGATGATGGGATGGAGGGTAGACTGGATGTGCGATAGTATAATGTCACGGTAGATATGTCTACGTGGCGATCAGCGATGCACGGCAACTGCGAACACAACCGTGACTTACGCTCCGGTGCGCTTGTCCTCCGGCATGCGTCTCATGAAGATCGTGAAGTTGTTCTCGATGCGCAGCGAGATATTAGGTGCGCCGTAGTCAACGACCGCCGCTCGGAACCGGTCCTGAGGGAGACCTATATTGTTGCGGTGCATGATCTTCGCGTGCAGGTTGGTCGCCCTCTTACCAGGCGCCCAGGGACCCGTCGCCGCCTGGGTGAGCATGCCTGTACATACCTCCTGTTGCCCGGCGGTAGGACGTGCGCGGTGCGACATCGCATTGTAGATCTGGCAGCCTCCCATTTCGATGATCGGACCGTCAAACCCATGCTTGTCCATCCATTCCGCCTTCCCAGCGAGATCAGGTTCGACGAAGTGCGCACCGTCTTCCAATGTCTCGTGAAAATCGGGTTGGGGCGGGACGTCCCTTCGCAGCTCGCAGTCAATGTCCACCATGAAGGGCGCGTAAATCGGGAACATCTGGTTCGCCTGCATATGGCCGATATGTCCCAGAAAGGCCTGAGGGTACGCAGTGACGCGGAGCCGTTTGTTGGCCTGCGCTGGGCGACGCATATCGAGCAGTGCCTCTACCTCGTCCTCCATCAGCGCGTCGTCCTGCTCAGCCGTCCTGAAGCCGCGTGGTCTGCTTGCCGCCCTGGGTTCGTCGCGCTCGTCACCGTGCGAGGTGGCTCGGGCTCGACCGCGGGCTTCCCGCCGATGTGCGGACAGCTCCTCCACGGTCATCTGTTCGCACCTCTCCAGCTCGTCTGGGGCGTCGTCTCGCAGGTCGGCACCCAGTTCATGTTCCTCTGCAACGTCCGACGCTCCCTCCTCGTCATCGTCACCACGAGCCTCGTCGTCAATGAACCGAGATACCCCGCGGCGGCGCCGACGTGGTCTGTTCTCGCTCTCCTCCTCCTCCTCCTCCTCCTCCAGCCACAAACGCGATGGGGAAGCCCTGGAACGGCGCCGGCTGGGACTGTTGTGTACACTGGGGATGGGAGAAGATGAGCCGGGAGGTGACGAGGGCGCTCGTGACGACGGTCCAGGTGACGGCGATGGGGACTCATATGATGGAGATCGGGGCCTGCGACGCTCGTGTTCCTGTACAGCGAGCCGCTGCATGGCCTCGCTGTCGTCTGCGTAATCCGCAAAGAGCTCGTCCACACGGCGGAGGTCAAGCAGAATACCGCAACCCGGCCCGTCGAGATCGGAATTGTCCACGGGCTGGGTGCGCAGCACGTCAAACCCCTCCCTAGTGTATAACGGCAGTAGGTTTCCATCTTCGTCCTCAAGCGGGTAGTTGTATAGGTCAACTGGGCGCGAAGTGCGATCCACAACAGGCGTGTCGAACACTTCTACATGCTCACGCAGGATGTCATCTGGTGGTATCGGCTCGTGTTGCTGGACGTCATGAGCCCTGCAAAGCGCAGCCACCGAGTCAGTCTATTCCAAACGGATTGTGAACGTGATCGCACTCACGTTAACTCGGTGGCCACCGCCATAGAGACATACTTCATTGCGCCCCATGCCCGCTCCTCTTGCCACTGCTGCGTCTCCCTGTCGATCGCGTTCTCCACCGCGATCGGCGTGTTCTGACCGTAGCGTTGTGACATGATGATGGGCTTGTGGTGGATGAAGAACTTGTCCTTCTTCCAAGCCGCAGGCATTTCATGAACAAACGTACGCCACTCAGCCTCGAAGGTGTCGTCAATATGGACGACGTCCTCGTGCGTGAGTTCAATCTTCGGTTGGTCGCTGACACTCAGGTGAGTATACAAGCAGACCAGTGCCCAGCCGACGGAGTACACTCACAATATGTTGCACATGTCCCGAATGCTCCACTTGCGCAGATCATCCGACAGACCCCACCAGATGTGCGGCATCACCGACACACCGCGCCACTGCATGGTAGAGAGGACGTGGCACCAGAACAGCTGCCAGATTTTGAACCTTGTAGGCGACAGGCGTGTGTCGCCCGCCTTGATCCCGTATGCCGACAGCGGAAGGGCTGAGCCATCGCCGTTGGGCCGGTCGTACGCTAGGTCGCTGCTCTCGTTGTCGTTGTCGTCAAAGAAGGCGTTCGGTACGAATGCACACCACAGCAGGTCCGTCTGATACGTCCCAAAGAAAGCACAGCGGCCGGACGGGTCAAAGTCAATGTGCGTGTGCGTGAACTTGAGCGCCCGGTGAGGGGACAACAGGTCCACCGTCAACCTGTACCCAAGCGTACCGACCGGCCGTCGACACACAGCCAGGCCCTGCTTGGCCGGAATACAGGCCATGTGGTCCAGGTAGTTATTCTTCACGCGCCACTCCAGGGATGGATCAGTCGCCGGGATTCTATACGTCTCGTCAAGCACGACGGTCGAGCGGTTCCGCAGGTATACCGACGCCATCTTTGCAGAGTGTGCGGAACCGTCCTTTGAGTACCGCTCAAGGTCCGACACCTTCACGGACACCCGCCGATGGTCATTCCAGTCACGCTCGTCTCGAGCCACGGCGTCCTCGGAAGTAGCGCCCGCAGAGCCACGCGGATGAACTCCGTGGTGAACTCGACGGATCATCTCCATGACCTCCGCCTGCGTTGCGATAGTATCCGCCTGCATCGAGTCAGGTACCGCATCCAGCGAAAACTGCCCATCTCGACCTTCCAGGCGCGAGGCAAACTCAGCCTCGGATTCCCTAGTCATTAATCGCACGCGTGTCAGACGGTGTCCAATGCGAACTGCAAGAGATGACCAACATGTCGTTGCGGCCTGCGAGATGCTGCAGAATTTCGTGAGGAAGCATGTCTGGCCGGGACCTCGATTGGGTATCGTCAT